CTTTGTGATACTGACTTAAAATGTCCAGACAGGAATTTTTTTCCCTCGGGCTGCGATGCCTTTGACTTGTTCATTGGGGGAAGGGCACATTTTGAGTGCGAGTGCGTGTGGGCGTCTCACTCTCCTGCAGTTTTCAAAACCTCTGTATACCTCTCGTTCCTACACCAAACAAAATAAAAATGTTATAAAAGTGCTTGGATGCCTCTTTCTTCACCCACTCGGAAATTAGAGAGCTGGTGTTGTGTGTGCGTGGGGAGTGCAGCTGTTTCTTTTTATTTAAGATTATTTAAGCCTGCCAGGGTCTGGGAAGGTTTAACTCTCTCTGTGCTGTGCTCAGTATTAACTGCTATCTTTGCGTGGCATGTGTGAGCCAATCAGGAGGGCATCGGTTTTGCTGACGTTGTGTTGGAGAAAGTTGTCCCTCGTCCAGGACTTGATGTTGAACAGGTCAGTCAGGACCTCAGTAGTCCTGGAGTTCAGGGTGGAGGCAGAGAGGTAGAGTTGGGTGTCATCCGCATATCTGTGGAAATTTACCCCATGTCTGCGGATGATGTCACCACAGGGGGAGCATATAGAGGGTGAAGAGGAGGGGACCGAGGACAGAGCCCTGAGGGACACCGCACGGGACAGTGCGGGGGGGAGGAAAATCCGTTTGCAGAGACCAAGTGGAGGCGGCGTGAAAGGTAGGACCTGAACCAGTCAAGGACAGAGTCTTGGAGGTTAGGGTGGGAGGAGAGGCGGTGGAGGAGGATTGAGTGGTCCACGGTGTCAAAGGCTGCGGAGAGGTCGAGGAGGACGAGGAGACAGAGGGAACCCTGGTCACACATAGTTTGTGACCCTGACCGGAGCACAGTCAAAAAAAGGTTCAAACCCCATGTCGGGACTTGGAAGCACATAATCTAAGCTGACGTTCCAGCAGCGCTGGGTGGGGGGTGCGGCTGAGGTGGGGGGTGCGGCTGAGGTGGGGGTGTGCGGTGCCGAGGTGGGGGTGCGGCCGAGGTGGGGGGTGCGGCCGAGGTGGGGTGCGGCTGAGGTGGGGGGTATGCGAGGTGGGGGTGGCCGAGGTGGGGGGTGCGGCTGAGGTGGGGGGTGCGGCTGAGGTGGGGGGTGCGGCTGAGGTGGGGGGTGTGGCCGAGGTGGGGGGTGCGGCTGAGGTGGGGGGTGGGCTGAGGTGGGGGGTGCGGCTGAGGTGGGGGTGTGGCTGAGGGGGGGTGCGGCTGAGGTGGGGGGTGCGGCTGAGGTGGGGGGTGCGGCCGAGGTGGGGGTGTGGCCGAGGTGGGGGGTGCGGCTGAGGTGGGGGTGCGGCTGAGGTGGGGGGCGGCCGAGGTGGGGGGTGCGGCCGAGGTGGGGGGTGCGGCGAGGTGGGGGGTGCGGCCGAGGTGGGGGGTGCGGCCGAGGTGGGGGGTGCGGCCGAGGTGGGGGTGCGCTGAGGTGGGGGGTGCGGCCGAGGTGGGGGTGCGGCCGAGGTGGGGGGGGTGCGGCCGAGGTGGGGGTGCGGCTGAGGTGGGGGTGAAAGAGTGACAGAGCGAGTGGTACAAAAACAAAGGTAGAGACACACATACACAGACAGAGGACAGGGACAGTGAAATAGACGCAGAGAAAACAAATGTTATTATCTACATGAGATAATAATAATCTTCACATTTGATAAACGCCTTATCACGTCTTCGAGACGTCTCAAAGCGCTTCACAGAATACTGTAAAGTGGAGTGATTCCACAATTTTAGCTTTTATATTAGAATCAACTCATCAAAACCATTTGCAAACCAGGGACAGAACCATTGCAAAAATTACGGGTAAGTAAGTATTAGATAGTAAAACTATTTAAAGCTACTCTGAGCTCGTTAGTGTGGAGCCTCCAGACCACCTCACCCCACCACACCCCCAACGTTAAACTTTTAATTCCAGATGGTTGCATGTTGTAAAGGCTCTGTCACAACAGGATCAGGTCAGACAGTGATACGGTGTCTGAGTTGCGTGTTGCTGTTTCCTGGCTGTGGGGGGTGTGGGGGGATGTGAGGGGGGATGTGAGGGGGTAGCCCCTGGCTCCCTCCTCACAGTGACTGGCTGTGCAGTCGGTTGGCTCCTCCCAGCTCCAGCAAGGAACCTTCAATCCAGTTCACGTTTCCAGCTGTGGCTCCATCCCATTACCAGCGTGCAGCGATTGCTTCTCTCTCCCTGTGTCTAGGCCGCCTGCAATGGCTCAGCCTCTGCTGCTGTTGGCGGCGGCTCTCCTGGCTCTCGCCCTGACCCTGAGTTGGGCGGAGGTGCCGTTGGCAGACGGGGAGCCGCTGGAGCCTTACGACCGGTTGTTTGATGCGGCGGTGAACTCGTACCATCGAAACGATTGGCAAGGGGTGATCATCAACATGGAGCGAGCCCTGAAGAACCAGCAGGTCCTGTATCAGGTCAAGACCCACTGCCGGCTCCAGTGCAACAACCAGACTGGCTTTGTGTCCTCGGCCAGCAGCAGGGACTTCCTCTTCGACCTGAACTTCTTCAACACGGTGCTGAGGAAGGCCGAGTGCCTGCGAGCCTGCAAGAGCACTAGGCTGGGACCAGACTCACTGCATCAGGTCACTGAGGAGACCCAGCTGGAGTTCAAGAGGAGGACTCCTTACAACTATCTGCAAGTCGCTTACTTCAAGGTACGTCTCAGCCTCTCTCCAGGGCAGCAATCGGGAGCAGCTCCTTAAACACCATTGTCTCCAATTAATTTAGGTCCCGATTACCTTGCAATTCAGGTGGGTTCAACCAGTTTCGCCCACAAGATGCACAGTCGATTCACTTGACAGTATAGTCTGTGAAGCGCTTTGACGCATCTAGAAAACATGATAAGGTGCTGTATCAAATACAAGGATTATTATTATCACCCCACAACTGTTTGCCCCCCAAGTCCCCTGCCCCCTCGCCCCCCATCAGTCCATCGGTATCTCAAAGAAATAATGGCAGTAATTCTCCCGATATTTCCTGTCTTATATTCTCCGCCCCATCCAGAATTCGCACACAAAATACTCGCTTTACAGTATATTTACAGCGCTTTGAGACGCCTCAACGACGCAATAAGGTTTTATATCAAATGAAAGGATTATTATTGATGAAATTGTCCCCAAATTGTGTTTGATCGGCCGCTTGTCTCAGCGTCGTGCTGCCACGTTTGCCTCCATGATAGCGATCGCTTAATTTTAAAAGAGACTTGAACCCGCGTAACACTTCGGGACTTTAGCAATAAATATAATGCTCGCATTTGACACTTTGTGCATCTAGTGCAAAAAAAGCGTGTAACTGTAAAGTTTTATTCTGGAGAGAGAAAATTGAACGGCTTGAAGTTCCCTCAAAATCGCAGGGGGTAACTGGCTCTGCAGATCAGGGCAACATTGAACCCCAACACCCTACAGCTATCAATCACTGCAACCATAAAACGCAAGGATTATTATTACCCGTCTGCACAGTTAGATGTTTTGTTCAAGACCCTCATCTTCGCCTGTGCCTTCGGTCACCAGGTTGAGAGACACCGAAAGGGACTTCCCTCCAACCACCCCACACCCCCCTCGCCCTCCACCCTCCCCGATTCTGACCCCCAGCTTGGGTCCGAAGCACTGATTATCCAGTGCCTTGGGAGGTCCTCCTGACGTGAAAGGCGCTGTGTAAATGTCATTTTATTGTTGTTGTTGTGAATTTGTTGGCTTCTGAAATGCTTGTATCAAGCAAGGATCTCGGGGAGTTTAAAGGGCTCCGCACACACACTTCACAGGATCCACTCGGGAAAGGGAGACAGTCACAGTGTAGGGACTCTCGCCATTTAACGCAGTCCGCTGGCTTCCAAACTTTCCGGGGGAATGTGTTCAGTTTGTTTTAACACTGCCCTGGAATTCTGCCTTCCTTTCATTCAGGCAATAGACGGAGCTGAGGCCTAGCTCCCTCCCCCTCCCCCTCCCAGCCCCTTGCTCTGAGCTGCCACGTCAAAGACCGGGTGTCGGCTGGAACTTGCTCAAAGGCTCCCAGCGGCTTCCAGTGCTGCAGAAACTTCGCTCTGGGAATCCCTTGGTATTAAAAAGGAGGCGTGAACTGAATGAGAGTCAGTACGCACAGCTTGCATATTCTGCAGTAACAACCGTTTACAGTAAAAGCTTCTAAATTTCTTTGGTGCGGAGGGGAATCTTTTCAAAACCATTACGACAACTTATAATTTATATAGTGCCCCTTCACAGGAGCGCTTAACAGTGGCGGAGCCAGGGGGAGGGGTTGGACATGACCATAAGTACGGTTGAAGAGGAAGGTCTTCAGTGGTGATCGAAAAGAGGGGAAGTGAGGGCCAAGGCAGGAGGATTGGGGGAGAGAGTTTCAGAAGTTATCGCCCTCACTCAGGTTGATGTTTCCGTGCAGTACTGTGGAAGCAGCGATGTCGGAGACGCCAGCCTTCTTTCCCATTAGGCTGAAGTCCCGTCTGTCTTTTGAAGTGAACGTTCACAATTGCGTACAAATTCATAGCACACAGCAGAAAAGAGTGGTTCCTGAGTCGGTTCATGACTTGAGGGCATCAATTTAAGATAGCTAGCAAACGAGCAAATAGGGAGCTTGGGAATTTTTTTTCACAGTTAGGATAGAGCGATGGTTGAGGCAGAATCAGTATTAGCTTTAAAATGGAAATAGATAAATGTCTGTAAAAATAATAATAATCCTTGCATTCCTTAGCCCATCTTGTCTCAGCCGCTCTTTGAAAGAGCAATCCATTCAATCCCATTTCCCTGGTTTTTGTTTGCCCCCTTACCTTACAGATTACTCTCTTTTGGCTGGATGGAACCCAGTGTGTTAGCTTTGTTGCCTCTGAGCCAGAAGGTTGTGGGTTCAAACTCCACATCAATTTGGAAGTGCTGGGGTGTGTTGCATTGTCGGAGGTGCTGTCCTTCATTAAACCAAGATCCTATCTTCCTGTTCAGGTTGACGTTAAAGATCCCATCGCACTATTGGAAATAGGAAAAGAAAAGGGAGTTGCTCTCGCCCAGTGTCCTGGCCAACAATCCCCCCAAATAAAATTGCTCACTCACTGTGGGACTGTGTGCAACTGGCTGCTGCTTTTCGCTCACAAAATACACAGTCAAAACCACTTTATAGCATATCACCTTTGAGACCTCTCAACAACGTGAAAGGTGCTAGATCAAATGCAAGATTTCTTCTGATTTTTATTATTATTATTTATAGTTATCTATCGTGTTCCCTCTTGAAAACTAATACAAATCCTGCCTCAACCACTGCGCCCAGCAGGGCAATCCGTGTTCTAACAATTCTCTGGGTAACTATTTGAGAATCAATCCTACCAAATGTGGCCGATCAGCCAGCCTGGCTGGGCTGTCACCAGCAGTGCCCTGGGGTACAGCAGACCTGCCTGGCTCAGGAACTGGAATACTTCAAAGCACATCTCAAAACCCTCCTCTTTGACTGTTCCCTTCGGCTCTTCCTACCCTCCCTGCCCTCCCCACTCCCTTACCCCAACTCCCTGCTCGGGTCCAAATCCCTGACTATCACTTCACTTTACAGTATATTCTGTGAAGCGCTTTGAGATGTCTCGAAGATGTGATCAAATACAAAGATTATTATTATTATTATTATTATGCTGACAGTCCAATGCAGTGCTGAGGGTATGCTACATTGTCGGAGGTGCTGTCCTTCAGATGCAATGTTAATGTTAAACCCAAGGGCTTAAAGACAGTCTTTAATGTGTTTTGATCGGCAGATTAAGAAGCTGGACAAGGCTGTGGCAGCGGCCTACACCTTTTTTGTGGCTAATCCAGAACATCTGGAGATGCAGCAAAATCTGGAGTATTACAAGCTGATGGCTGGTGTGAAGGAATCGGACTTTACAGATCTGGAAGCCAGACCCCATATGGTAACCCAACCACAGCAATTCCCTTTGCATTTGTATAGAGCCCTTCACGTGGGGTAGCATCTCGGAATGGTTAACAGTGGCGGAGCCTGATGCTGAGCCAGTGGTTGGGGGGAAGTGACCGTAAGCACAGTCGAAGAGGAAGGCCTTCTGGGGTGATCTGAAAATGAGGAAGGAAGGGGCAAGGTGGAGGGATTGAGGTACAGAGTTCCAAAATTTCGGGGCGTAGTGGCTGAAAGCGCAGCCACCAATGGTGGATTGGAGGGAACAAAGGACAAACAGGAGGCCGGAGTAAATAGAGTGGAGGCAGCAAGCTGTGGGTTGGTGAGTAAGGTTGTAGGGGTAGAGGAGGTGCCAGGGCACAAAGGGATTTGAGTGAGAGGATCTTGATGTCGATCCATGTGATAAGGAGCCAGTGGAGCTTGGCTAGAACTGGTGTGATGGAGGTATGGCATATACGGGCAGCTGAGTTTTAAATTGTTTGGATTTTTGTGGGGAATAGTTGTGGGAGAGGCCTTGTCCTTCAGATGAGACATGAAAGTGGTCCCGTCTGTGCCTATTCAGACCAACCGTGAAGATCCCGCCACACTACTGGAAAAGAGAATGAATTTTCTCCTGGGCCCCTAGTCAACAATCCTCCAGATTAATGCATCATTCACTTCATGTGTGCAGGACATTGCTGTACGCATAATAGTTTCTGCCTTCATCTGCAAAATACACAGTCACTACACTTGATATAATTTCCAGGTGAACTGCTCTGAGACATTTTGAAGTTTGAGGTTGATCATGTAGATGATATAGATAATATGGATCATATAGATATCTATAGATTTACTGTGAATATTTATATTTAAGGTTCTTTCTCTCTCCCAGGAATCGTTCCGGGCGGGAGTCAGACTGTACACAGATGAGCAGTTTCTAGCCTCGATCGAGCTCTTTGAGAAAGCTTTGGTGCAGTACCTCCAGGCAGATATGGAGTGCCGAGCACTGTGTGAAGGTCCGTATCTCTTTGATGGTTACAGTTACATGGAGTACAATGCAGACCTCTTCCAAGCCATAACAGGTACTTACTTTTCAGCTTATTTCAAAACCTTTCAGCTGTTCCAAAGAGGGATAGAGGGCAAGCAATTTGGGACGTCCTCCTGACGTGAAAGGCGCTATATAAATGCAATTTCTTGTTGTTGTTAAAAATGTGACTTACATGGGAAGAACCTTCCACTCTCCAGCTTGTTTTGGTTGTGATGGGATCACTATCATGATTGATGACGATCAGCATTTCATCTGAAATTCTACCACTGCTAACATTAACTAGGAGGGAGGTTTTCCCCAGTGTCCTGCAAAACAGTATAGTGACTGTGTAATTATACATATTCGATGCACAGTCACTACACCTGCCAGCAGACAGGCACTATGCTTTGTGATAAGTCCTGTGAAGCACTTTGAGGCATCCTCCCAACACGAAAGGTACTGTATCAAATGCAAGGATTGTTGTTGTTATTGTCATCCTGGCTCAGTTGGTTGCATTCTTGCCTCATTTTTGCTTCAACTATATAGAGCCTTGGTCAGACCCCATCTGGAGACTGCGTTCAGTTTTGGGCACTTCATCTCAAGAAGGATATATTGGCTGTGGCGGATGTGTAACGCAAATTTACCAGAACGATACCAGGGCATAAAGGGTTGAATTATGAGGGCAGGTTGGATTAACTTGGTCTCTATTCGCTTGAGTTTAGAAGGTTGAGAGATGATCTGATTCAGGTTTTTAAAATAATAAAGGGATTCAATAGTGTAGTTACAGAGAACCTATTTCCTCTGGTGGGGGAATCCAGATCAAGGGGCATCACTCTAAAATTGGAGCTAGGTCATTAAGACGTGAAATTATAAGGCTTTGAAGGCATGATCTTATCCATTTTTCACCCAAAGGGAAGAGGGAAGGTGAAATCTGGAACTCTCTCCCCCAAAAGTCTGTGGATAAACAACAATTGATACAGCGCCTCATCACATCTTCGAGACGTCTCAAAGCGCTTCACAAGACACTGTAAAGTGAATTGACTGTGTATTTTGTTGGCGAACTGCGGCAGCTAATTGTGCACAGCAGCGTTCCACAAACAGTCGTGGATTGAGTGACCCAATTAGTATTTTATTAATGATCTCTTGAATAAATTATGCTGGATCCATTTACATCTTCAAGACGAAGGTAGATAGATATTTGTCAGGTCAGGGTATTAAGGGGTATGGGGTGAGGGCGGGTATTGGGACTTAAGGTACAGATCAGACATGATTTTATAGAATGGCAGAACAGGCTCGAGCTTCTGAATAGCCTAGTGCTGGTTCTATGTTGAGACTCACAATCTCACGAACCCAATCAATGTGACCATCATGTTGACGCAGTTGGAATTGGCTTGGCGGTTAAGAGAAATGATGCAGTCACAAGTTTGTTTGCATGACTGCTCTTAAAAGCTAAGACAATTACAACTCTATCGATAACTCTGGTCTTTAATCATAATGGGGTCCTGTAGCGTGTTGGTTAGAGCAAGCCAGAGGATCCGGGCTTGATTTCCTAGCAGCACGATACCTTAGGCAAGTTTCTGATTAACTTAAGTATTTTTAGGAAACAAAACAAAACTAGAGCTATGGCCACCAGTAAGTGGTCATACACTGAAGCCACCAAAAAAATTGGTTTGAGAAACAATGGTTTATAGGCTGACCTGATGCAGGACTTGGGGGAGCGATATATTGTCAGACGTGACATCCTTTGCGTAAGCTGTTAGACTAATGTACTGGTCAGATAGAAGTTAAAGATGCCTGGGACCTAGTGAAAAGAGAAGGGAATTCCTCCTGGTATCCTGTCCGACAGCCCCCCAGATAAATCGTTCATTTGTGCCAGTTCTTCAGTTGGATGTTACAATAATACAGGAAACTCCTGATAACTCATCACTCTGAGTGAGGAAAAAGGATTCAGTGACAAGTTATTAGGAGTGGCAAGTTCGGCACATGGATAAATATCCGGGATATTGACTCAAGTGGGGCTGACAAATTCAGACAGGGCTGAGTTAGCAGGAGTTTACCGTTTAATAAAAAGTACATGTTACTTTATCTTTCATTAAAGTGCTCAACTGTCCTATTCTCTACCACATTTGCTGTGTTTTTTCAGATCATTACATTCAGATCCTGAGCTGCCGGCAGAACTGTGCTGTGGAGTTGGCTAGCCGGCCTGGGAAAGAGAAGCCCATCGATAACTTCCTGCCCGCCCATTATGATCACCTGCAGTTTGCCTACTACAACAGTTGAGTGTGTCCGTCCCTTGAGAGCAATTATTACCTGTGAAACTTTAATGTCTTCAGGTCCCTTCATTCGCTGGCACCTCCCTACCTCTCTGACCTGCTTACTCTCCAATCCATTACCCATCGCCTCCCCTCCAGCCTCCTGCCTGTCCCTCCTGCCCTCCGTTCCACCTTCGGTGGCCGCGCTTTCAGCCACTTCCCCCTGAAACTCTGGAACACTCTTCCCTCTAGACCTCCTCCTTACATTTCAGTGAGTGAATAGTGAACCTATGGAACAGGCTCTCTGGGGAGACGGTTGAAGTAGGAAATATTGATTCTTGCAAACACAGATTATATAGTTTTCTCTTAGGAAATAACATTAGGGAATACAGTACATAGAAAGTTTGGAACATATGTGCATGCGACCACCAAGAAGCTGGAAGGCCAACTAGATGGGCCTTGGTCTTTTTTCATCTAGCATTTCTTATGTTTGTGTGCTCCCTCCTTCCCGACCTTCAGATCATGCCTGAAGACCTTCCACTTCGATCAAGCCTATGGTTGAGGGTTGGGGGCTGTATTATTGGAGATGCCTTCTACTTGAGAAATGACACCATGGGCTTACACGAAAGAGAAGGGATCTCTCTCCCAGTGTCCTGGCCAACGATCCCCCAAATAAAATTGCTTCTTCACTTCATGGCTGTTTGTGCACAATGCAGCTGCTGCATTTGCCTACATAATACAGTCACTACATTTGATGGTATATCCTACAAAGAGCTTTGAGAGACGTCTTCCCAATGTGAAAGGCGCTGTATCAAATGTAAATTTTAAAAATTATTTTGAGGATTATTAATGTGGGGTCTTCATTTCAGCGGAGAATTATGAAAAGGCCATTGAGTGCACCAAAACGTACCTTCTTTTCTATCCCAACGATGAGGTGATGAACCAGAACCAGCAGTATTACGAGGCAGTACTGGGAGACCAACTAGCGAGACACATTGATGCCAGAGAGGTAAGGAGTCCTCAGACCCTATGGTTCAAATGCCTTCTTGTTGCTCTTTTCTGTTAGCATTGCCTCATTCATGCGTGATGATAATTCTCCTCAAGATGGTAGGAATTTGATTGCTTCACCGGCTCCCTTTCCCCCAGTGGATCGAGTTTAACATCCTCATCCTCGCCTGAAAGTCCTCTACAATGTTGTTTTGCCCTACCTCTGACCTCCTAAAACCCTACAACCTGTCTGCTCCCTCCACTTGGCAGGCACTGGCCTGCTTCATGTCCCCCCACCCTGCCCGCTCCATCGCTGGAAGTCGAGCCTTAAGCCTTTCTGTCTCCACCCTCTGGAACTCCATCCTGGAGCCCCTCCACCTTTGCCCCTCACTTGCCTCCTTCAAGTCCCTTCTCAAGACCTTCCCCTTTGACTGTGCCTTCGATCATCTTCCCACCACCAACCCTTTACACCTTCTTGACTCACAACACCCAGGTGGGTTACACCTTGGAACATCCTCCCGATATGAAGGGCACTGTATAAATGAAATTTGTGTTTGTTGTTGTCGTTGTTGGTTCGGGCCTACGTCTCCTTACACCTGAGGTCCTAATCCTGTCACTAGCCGAGTGGGGACCAGGAACTGCCCGAAGGAAAGGGAGGGAAAATCTGAGATCTTATCCCAGGAGGAGAAGTTCAATGAAAACTAACCCAGGATGAGGTCTTAAATCCTCACTAGGCTTTGATGAGGCCTGGGAGGCTTGTGTCAAATTGGTTACAAAATGCCCCATTTCCCCTGTTTTTGAGCCGTGCTGAACAGAACTCTGGCTCATTGCCGACTCTTCTTATTGAAGGTAAGTTGTGTTAGGGTACATCTATGTTGACACTTTTCCTGTATCGGTGGATGTCCAGCGCTCTTATCTGTCGAACAAATCGATGCTGGGATTCCTGTGCTTGACACTGTGGAGTCCTGTAGCTCAGTGATTAGAGCACTCGCTTTGCAAGTGAGAAACCTGAGTTCAATTCCAGGCAGAGGGCGAAACCTTGGGCAAGTTTCCTTACTCCACACTCCTAATAATAATCCTCCAAAACCAAAAACAATAATAAATTGGTCATTTTCAATCCACGACTGTTTGTGGGACATTGCTGTGCGCAATTGGCTGCCGCGTTCGCCCACAAATATACAGTCAATTCACTTTACAGTATATTCTGTGAAGCACTTTGGGACGTCCTCCCGACGTGAAAAGCGCTATATCAAATGCGAGGATTATTATTATTATTATTATTACTTTTCTGTCTCTTCCTCACAGAGAGTCCAGGTGTACATCAACAGCTCACTGCTGGAGAAGGAACTGCTGTACTTTGCCAACGAAGTGTTTGGGATCACATTTATAGACCCAGTAGGTTGCTGCATGTTGACACATGTGACCCAGTTGATGTCTTTTCTATAAGACCTGTTACAACATGGAAACAGGCCATTCGGCCCAACTCGTCTGTGCGGTGTTTAAATGCCATATGACTCTCCTACCCATCCTATCCCCCTCTCCCATACCCCTCCTATCCCCCTCTCCCATAACCCTCCTATTCTCCTCTCCCATACCCTTCTGCTCCCTTGTGTATGAAGCTTAAATATTGTACATTGATGCTTTCAGCTTCAGCCACAGCTTTCCTGAAGGGAGTTCCACATTTTGACCACACTCTGCGTGAACATTTCCTCTTAAACTCCCTGTTAGATCTGTTACTGGCTATTTTAGAGTTACGCACTAATTATAGTCAAACAAACAAGTAAGTCAACACCCAATCATTTCATTCCAGGTGAAAGGTGTGATTATAAGTGCATTTTGTTGTTGTCCAATAATAAGTGGCACTTTATTAAGCCACGTCTCAGAGAGTACTGTGCTTTTGGTCACCTCTCCCCCCCGAACCCAATTCAGCTCTCACCCTCAACTCTGGTGTCTGACCAGCACTGTGAAGCACTTTGAGAAATCTTCCTGACAAGACAGGTACTGTGTAAATGTAAATTGTATTGCAGTGTTAGTGTGACTAACCCATTTCTGCCTTCTCAGGACGCTTGGACTCCAGAAAATGTGATGCCTGTTAAACTCAGGGAAAAACAAAAGTAAGGAGCGAAGCCTTTGAGTAGAATATAATGGGGAAACAAAAGGCAAAACACTACAGATGCTGGAAATCTGAAATAAAAACTGAAGTGGCTGGGAACACGCAGCAGGTCAGGCAGCATCTAAGGAGAGAGAAAAATTAGTTAACGTTTCAAGTCAATGACCTTTCAGATCTGAAACGTTAACTCATTTTTCTCTTTCTTGAGAGATGCTGCCTGACCTGCTGCGTGTTCCCAGTGACTTCTGGTTTTAGAATATATCAAGAGCCTGGAATTTGGGATCTGCCTCACTGCCCAATTGTAATATTCTAATCCCACTTGCTTAATCTCCCTGTCCTGAAAGTCTCAACAGTTCCACGAGAACTTAGAAGATTGAGTGGAGGCCAGTTAGAGGTTGGTGACCAGAGGGCATCGATGTGACATCACAAAAAAACAGAGGGAGAGGTTAGACACAGAGGGTTATTAGAACATGGAATGGCCGACCAAAAATACTGAGGCAGAATTGATACCAACAATTGGGTAAATATTTGAAAAGGAGAACTTGGAAAGGCTGGAGGGAGGGACAGGGACCGAAGACAGGGGATTACAATACAAGACAAAATTACGCCTATATTTGTAAAGCTTTCATGTTGGGAGGACATCCCAAGGCGCTGGACAGTCAGGGATTTGGACCTGAACTGGGGATTGGGAACAGGGAGGGTAGGGAGGGTAAGGTGGGGGGGGCTGAAATCTCGGTCGAAGAGAAGGTTTTTGAGATGTGCCTTGAAGGAGGTAATGGAGGGAGCGAGGCGAAGGGAATGTGGGATGAGTTCCATAGGGTGGAGGGAAGGCTAATGGCCTGGCCGCCGATGATGGGGCCGGGCTGGGTATGGGTCGTGGAGCAGGGACCAAATCGAAAGCTCTCACAGAGAGCCAGCACTGGCACGAGGGGATGAATGGCCTCTCGCTGTGCTGTAAGATTCTAGGCTTCACGACTTGTTCTCAAGGGATGATTCCATGACCTCACATGATCCACAGCCAAGTGTCTTCCCTTCACACAGGCCAGACAGTGAGTGTGGGGCAGGGAGTGACCACTAGAGGGAATATGTACACAGTACAGTACAGTAGAACCCTGTTAGAATGGCCTCGTTATTGATGTGTGGACTTCACCACTTACCTACAAGATCTGACAAGTACACGTTGGTTTTGTCTGTGCTTCACAATGCTGATAAGGCATGTAGGAATTTTTTTGGGTTAAGCCGGGTATCTGACACACATGTGGGAACCCATCACGGTGCTTAAGAGTATCCAAACCGAGCTGAGAATTCCATGCATCCCACCTACACATGGAAATCCCAAAGATAGATTATTGGAATGGAATGCGCTCTCTCTCTCTCTCCCTGGAAGGACACACCCTGCTTACCTAATTCAGGAAAGTATTAGGCGCAGGTTGGCAAGAGCCAAGCCTTGTGGGGAATTCAAAGGTGGGTGTTGGGGTGACTGCTATAGTCTATCCAGCTAAAACGGCATAGCTTGCTATTGATATCACTGTCTGGCAAGCTTTCCTACTCTTTCTCCAACTAGGACCAGCCTACCCTTTAAGGCTTTGGCTTGCAGGGTTAATAGGAGATGACTCTCCCGAACTGACTGCCGTGCAGCTCATTGCTGGTGACAACAGTTCCCTGTGAAGGGCTTGGGGTTAGGCTCTAACACCCACAGCGCAGTGCTAAAGGGACGTGGGCTGTTTGGTATTTTTTTAGAAAACTACTGAAATGGTTAATCTGTTGAAACAGGACTGAGCGGGAGACTGCAGCGCGGATCAGCGAGGAGATTGGGAACCTGATGAAGGAAATCGAGCATCTTGTGGATGAGAAGACCAAGGAGTCGGTGGAGATCGTTAAGATGGTCCGAGAGGGTGAGTGAGGTGCCTGTGATCTGACCGCACAGACTTTTACGCACTAAATAATAAACTGAGCTGGTTCCATCAGCTCTCAATCACTCATCTCGCAAGCGAGACGACCTGGGTTTGATTTGATTCCCGGGCAGGGCAAAATGTCGGGCAATCTTCCTTGCTCCCCACGCCTTTTTTACCTAGCAGGAACCCAATTGTTAGTCGATTGGTGGATCACTTTCTGGGGGTAATAATCCCTTCAAAAAAATAAAATAAAAATAATATTTACTCAATGCTTGGTGTTTGTTGGACACTGCTGTGCATTTCGTCCACAAAATATACAGTCAATTCACTTTGCAGTATATTTTTGAAGACATGCTGAGGCGCTATATCAAATGCAAGGATTATTATTATAATAATCCATCAGACTGCAAGATCCTCGACCAGACCTTTAAATCCCTCCACCATCTCCCCCTCCCCCTCCAACCCCTTCCTGCCTTGTTCTCACTCTTTTTGCTCTTCCCTCATTCCGTCCATTCCACTATGGATAGCTGAGCTTTCAGCCCCCACGCCCAGTGCTAATCACCTAACCATGTTATCTGAGTTGTTCCCCACCCCGCCTCCTGACTGTCTGACGGACCTTTGAGGTGTGTTGACGTTTCTCTCCTGTTGCAGGAGGTCCTGTGCTGTATGATGGGGTGCAGGTGGTGATGAACTCCAAGATGATGAACGGCACACAGAGAGGCCTGATGGACGGAGTTATCACCCCCAATCAATGCCTGGAGCTCCGCATGCTGTCTAACGTGAGTACGTCTAGGCTGATATGCCAGTGCAGTCCTGCAAAAGTGAAGTACATCCCCAGCACTGCACTGGAGTGTCAGCCTGGACCATGCAAGTTCAAAGTCTCGACATGGGTTTTGATGAAGTAGATAGAGAGAAGCTGTTTCCTCTGGCGGGTGGGCCAGTAACCAGAGGACACAGATTCAAGATAATTGGCAAAAGAACCAGAGGGAGACGAGGAGACTTTTTTTTACACAGAGTTGTTACGGTCTGGAAGTCACTGCCTGAAAGGCTGGTGGAAATAGATTCAATAACAATTTTCCAAAGGAAATTGGATAGGTATTTGAAAAGGAAAATATTTGCAAGGATATGGGGAGAGTGGGACTGATCGGGTAACCGGCAACTGGCAAAGAGCTGGCACAGGCAAGATGGGCCGAATGGCCTCCTTCTGTGCTGTAATATTCTATGAGGCTAGAACGCGCCACCTTCTGACGGAAAAGCAAGAGTGCAAACAATTGAGCCAAAGCTGACACTTAACACCCACACATTTCTTAACACAAAGAAAAATGATTGAATGGAACAGGGGTTAACAGGAAGGGCCAGGCCGCTGGGATTCAATTAAGAAAACTATCTGGTGCTGTGATGGGAGGATAATAGGGATTGTGGAGAGATGAGATCAAATGTGCCTTAGGTTCTTCTTCATCCAAACTAATCTTGTGAGCGGTGTACAGTTGGCTGCCTCGGCCGGAGATGGTTACCGTGGAAAACCTTCACCGCACACTCCCAACGAGCGATTCCAGGGAGTGACCATGCTCAAGGCTCTCAAGGTAAGTCCTCCACATTTTGTGTTTCATTCAAGCTTTAATCACAGTCTCTGGAAGTTTTCAAAGAATGAGACTGAAACACACAAACATCACCGTCTTAGCTGGTTAGACTCCAGCAGTTACCCCGACTCACATTCTAGGGTCCCCAGGTTTTGCCTTTGCCGACATCTGTCTAATCCTCTCCGGAATTAGGTTAAATGGGGTGTATCTTTCCAGGGAGAAAGAGTCACATTTCACTCCAAGCCTGGGAATATTTACATGTAGGCGCTGTATTTATTTGTCTTGAGTTTTATCGATTCTACTCTAAAGTTTATCATAGAATCGTACAGCACAAAAAGAGGCCATTCGGTCCATTGAGTCTGTGCGGCTCTTTGAGAAGAGCAGTGTAATATCAATCCCACTCCCCGGCCCTTTCCCCATAACCCGCAAACCCGTCCTCCTCAAATACCCGTCCACCGCGTTTTTAAAAGTTGTTATCGAATCGGCCTCCACCACTGTTTCAGCCAATGCGTTCGAACAACTCGCCAATTGAAAAAATGTCTTCTCCCCTCCCTCGGCTTCTTTTTGAATCTGTGACCTCGAGTCACCGACACACCCACCAGTGGAAACAGTTTTCCCTTTTCTAACCTATCAAATCCCTCATGATTTTGAAGACCTCTATTAGGTCTCCTCGTAACCTTTATGGGACATAAATTCAGAATTCTCTGGGAAAGATTTAAAGGGAGAGGGTATTTTACGTAGAATATTATACGAAGTTAAAATGCTTTCTTACAAGTGGTGAAGCTCAGTCCATAACATTTTAAATGGAACGTAATAGTGAGAAGTAATTAAGGGTGCAGGGCAAAGAGCAAGGAATCCCACAAACAACCATGAAGTGAATGATCAATTTGATCATGAGGATTGTTGGCCAGGACACTGGGAGAGAGAAACACCCTTCTCTTTTTCACTTCCATCTGAACAGACACAGGCATAGTTGGAGCATCAGTTTGAACCCATAACCTTCTGCCCCAGAGGCAAGAGTGAAAGTGACTGAGCCAGGCTGACGTCTGGTATTGTCTTGAGTTTACAACAGTGTGCTCTTGTTTTTTAACAGCTGGCACAGGACGGCAAGGTTCCTCTGAGTTCAGCTAAACTCTATTACGATGTGAGCGAGAAAGTCCGGAGAATTCTTGAATCATATTATCGCCTTGAAAAGCCACTGCACTTCTCCTACACCCACCTGGTTTGCCGTACGGCCGTAGAAGGTAAAGCCACGAGCAGTATGTCTTCCCTTTCCTTCCCTTCCCATCCCTCCCTCAGGAAACTCCTCCAGCCTCTGCTCTTCCAAGTCCACTCTACTGCTCCTCCTCATCACTCCCTCCAGTCCATTGGTGGCCAAGCCTTCAGGCCCGATATCCCTACTCTCTGAACCTTTCCTCAAAATTCGTCCTCTTCCTCCCCCTGCCTATTAGCCTTGTTGCTCACGCCTTTAATCAACACCACTAGTTAAAAAAGGTGGAAAGGAAATGATGGGGGACTATAGTTAGTCTCACACCAATGATAGGAAAAATTTTAGAATCATTGATTAAGGATGTGGTAGTGCGGTATTTAGGGCACAATATAATTAGTCCAAGTCAACATGGCTTTACAAAAGGGAAGTCATGTTTGACAAATCTCATAGAGTTTTTTGAGGATATTTCCAGTAAACTAGATAAGGGTGAATCAGTGGATGTGGTCTATTTGGACTTCCAGAAGGCATTCGATAAGGTGCCGCATAAAAGGTTAGTCCAAAAGATAAGGGCCCATGGAATTGGGGGGAGCATATTAACATGGATTGGGGAATGGTTAACGGGTAGGAAACAAAGAGTAGGGATAAACGGGTCCTTTTCAGATTGGCGGGATGTGACTAGTGGAGTGCCACAAGGATCAGTCCTTGGGCCTCAGCTATTTACCATCTACATCAACGATCTAGATGAGGACATCGAAGTTAATATATCTAAATTCGCGGATGACACAAAACTAGGAGGAAGTGTCAACACAGAGGACGACCATAAAAAAATGCAGCATGACATAGACAGGTTAGGTGATTGGGCAGGTGGGTGGCAGATGAAATATAATGTAGGGAAGTGTGAAGTCATCCACCTCGATAGCAAAAACAGTAGAGCGGGTTTTTTTAGAAGGGGAGAGATTGGAACGTGTTAGCGTCCAGAGGGACTTGGGTTCCTTGTACACCAATCACAGAAAGTTAGTCTGCAGGTGCAGCAGCAATTAGGAAGGCGAACGGTATGTTAGCATTCATTATGAAAGGATTAGAGTATAAGAGTAGGGAAGTCTTGCTGCAACTGTATAGGGCCCTGGTGAGACCACACCTGGAATACTGTGTGCAGTTTTGGTCTCCTCATTTAAGGAAGGATGTACTTGCCTTGGAGGGGGTGCAGCGTAGATTTACTAGGTTAGTACCAGGGATGAAGGGGATGAGTTACGAGGATAGGCTGACCAATTTGGGCCTATATTCTCTAGAATATAGAAGAATTAGAGGGGATCTTATAGAAACCTATAAGATCATCAAAGGGCATGATAGAGTAGATAGTGGGAGATTGTTTCCCCCGGTTGGAGAAACTAAAACCAGGGGTCACAACCTTAAAATCAGAGGCAGCCCTTTCGCACTGAGTTGAGGAAGAACTTCTTCACTCAAAGGGTAGTGAATGTATGGAACTCACTACCCCAAAGGGCTGTTGACGCTCAGTCCTTGAACATATTCAAGACTGAGAGAGATAGATTTCTTATTGCAAAAGGGATTAAGGGATATGCGGATAAGGCAGCGTCAGGTTATTAGCTGGAGTTAGATTAGAAGATCAGCCATGATTGAATGGCGGGGCAGAGGCTCGAAGAGCCGAATGGCCTACTCCTGCTCCTACATGTTATGTTATTTTATTATGTTACCATCAAGCTCCCCCTTCCTCTCTTGCCCCCCCGCCCAGCCTGCCCCACCATTGACAGTCAGGCCTTCACCCTCTCTGCCTCCACTCTTTGGATCGTCATCCCACATTTGCTTTGCCTCACTCCCCTCCCTTGCCTCCTTCACGGCCCGTCTCAAGACCTTCCTCTTTGGCCCCCTCGTACCCCTTACCCTCCCTGCTCTCCAGCCCCTCCTGATCCCATTCAACCCATCGAGTCTGTGCTGGCTCTTTGAGAAGAATAGAAGGGTATCAGAGGAGGGATGAGGAGGTTGGGAGTTTGTGTAGATTAAACAGCAGCAAAGGTGAGTTGGACCCTTTAGAATCCTGTTTCTGTGCAGCAGCTTTCTATTTAATTCTATATAATCCCTGCTCAGCACAGCCATGCTGTGTGAATGGCCCCTATAAGGACTTATTTTCGGCAAGATCAGCTAACTCCGCATGGACTGGAAAATTCAAACTAGGGTGATTTTCTGTCTCGTGCGCAGTCTAAGTCATAATTGCGTCACGCGATTTAACTTCCCCAAGTTTAAATTTCAGCGTTAGAGGTCACTGAGTGCTTTCTTCACTGATCGAGGCAAAGCGGTTTGGGAAAGAAATTTTGTGAGGACAGCAGGTGGCGTCTGAAAGCTCAGCCACTGATGGTGGAATGGAGGGAGTGGGAATCGAGGGCAGGTCACGCTGGAAAAGGGTACAGACTGGAACAGAGGAGGATTAGAATAGGGGATGTAGAGTGAGAAGGGAGGGATTGGAAACCAGGACAGGTATTGTGAAGTGGATTTGGTGAGTGGTTGGAGTTTGGCAAGGACGTGGTCAATGGGCCAGTTCTTTATCGGTTCATCTTCCAGATGTGCGTTTGGGAAGGATCTTGAACTGACCAGACTCTCTTCATTTCCAACGTTAGGAAACCAGGTAGAACGAGCGGACCTGAGCCATTCCATACACGTGGACAACTGCATCCTGAACTCCGAGGCTCTGGAATGTCGTAAGGAAACGCCGGCTTATACACAGCGGGATTACAGGTACAACAACGGCAAATAGTGAAAGGGAGAGAGAAAGTAATTGCTTCTTAATCACGTCAGAAAGCGATTTACAAGTGTAGTGACTGTTTTTTGTAGGAAAACAGGACCAGAATTTACCGTGCTCTCTGGAATTCTCTCCCCAAATCCCTCTGTGTTCAGAACCCTGTTAAAAGCTTGTTTCCGGACCCTTAACCCCCTCCTCCCCGCCCCACCTCTGTTCCCCTCCAGCCTGCTCAGCACTTCCCATCATACTGGTCATCTGCTTTCAGACTGTCGTAACGCTATGTACGTGCCCGTTCTATGCCGCTGTGTAACCCCTTTGAGGCGTTTGATGTGATATAAGGCCTGAAAAAATACAAGTTGCAATCAAACTGTTCACCCAAAATATTGTATTAATTATTTCCCGAGGTGCCAATACAAACCTGACAGTGGACAAGAGTACCACAATAAATTATTTTTTCCCCCCTACAGTGCTATTCTTTACTTCAATAACGATTTTGAAGGCGGAGAATTTATCTTCACTGAACTGGATGCTAAAAGCATTACTGTAAGTGGTATGGTTTATTTATTTAGTTCATATAATAGCGCTCTCGTTATGACATTCTAGGTGGGATCCACAGAGTCCCATAGTGTAGTGAGAGGACCTGGGTTTGAAACCTTAGGCAAGTTTCCTCGCTCCACATGCCTTTTACATAGTAGGAACCTGATGCTCAGTTGATTGAGGGTAATAATCCCTTCAAAAAAAATAATAATTTGGTCACTCAATTCATGACTGTTTGTAGGACATTGCTGTACACAATTGGCTGCTGTGTTTCACCCACAAAATATGCAGTCTTTGCAGTATATTCTGTGAAGCGCTTTGAGACGTCTGGACGATGTGATAAGGCGCTGTATGCATTGAAACAATTATTATTATGTTATTACAGTTTAAATCACTGTAGAGGTAATTTCAATAACATTGCCACGTTACATAAGAATGGATGTCACTTTCCTTAATATATTTGAGCTTCCAAAAATAGCTTTATTATTATTTATTATTATTAATTATGATTTATTTTATTATTTATTGATTTATTATCAGGCGCGAGTGAAGCCCGATTGTGGCCGACTGGTCAGCTTTTCCTCGGGCAGTGAAAACCCGCATGGTGTGGAGGCGGTGACTAAAGGTCAGCGGTGTGGCCTGGCCATCTGGTTCACTTTGGACCCACGGCAGACAGAGAGGGTAAGAAAGTGGAGCCTTTGTCGAGTCTGGTGATGGAGCACAGACAAGGGGGAGTGCACGAAGTTCAGCAAAGAAGAGGTTAATGGACATGCGGGAGGGCCAGTTCTTTATCAGTTCAATAGCAAGGGTCAGGAGGAGACCATTCAGCCCATGAGCCTGCTCCACCAATTTATGAGATCAAGACAGATTTTTTTAATTTAATCACATTTCCCTGTTTCTTTCTCCACAAGCAATTCCTGTTTCCTTCCCGATTATCTAACCATCTCCCTTTTAAACATCCCAGTTGATAACAACAACAACAACAAGATTCCATTTATAGAACGCCTTTCATGTCGGGAGGACGTCCCAAGGCACTGTACTGACCATTTCGCCCCTGCTCGGGGCAGTGTGTTCCCAGCCCAGAATTGTGTGTGTGTGTTTGTGTGCGTATGTTAGTGTGTGTGTTTTTGTGTGTGTGTGTATGGGGTAAGGGGTGGTTGAGGGTGTAGACCGCAGCCATTATCAAAGAGAGATTTTTAAGAGAGTTTTGAAGGCGGGGAGAGAAGGAGAGAGGAATTTGGGAGAGATACAGAGAGTGGGGTCTCTGTGGATAGAGGCCTCTGATTCAAGCAAGGAAGAGGTGACAAGCGAACAGCAGAACAAGCAGAGGGTCCAGGAGGGAGGAGTAGAACTGGAGCAGGTAGCTCAGAGGGAGCGAAACATTGAGGTCAGGAGTAGGAGAAAGTACCTGTCAAACTTCTCATGCAGGGATGAGGGACTATAATTATGTGGGGAAACTAGAGAGGCTGGGATTATTCTCCTTAGAGCAGAGAATGTTGAAGGGTGATTTAATAGAGGTATTTAAATTATGAGGGGCTTTGATAAGAATAGATAGGCAGAAATTGGCAGGTGGGTCGGTAATCAGAGGACACAGATTTAAGATAATTGGCAAAAGAACCAGAAAGGGAGACGAGCAGAATTTTTTTACCCAGAGACTTGTTACGGTCTGGAACGCACTGCGTGAAAACAGATGCGATAATAGCTTTCAAAAGGGAATTAGATAGGTAATTAACAAAGAAGAATTTGCATGTCTATGAGGTAAGAGCAAGGGCTGGGAGTGGGATTAGTTGGTAGCTATTTCAAAGAGCTGGGCACAGGCACGGTGGGCTGAATGGCCTCCGTCTGTGCTGTAAAATTCTATGATTCTCACTTGTATTCGGCGTTTCCCACAGGACAGGTTTGAGGCTGATGAACTTGTAAAGATGCTCTTTGACCTGGATGTTGACCAGGTGGCAGCCAAAGCACCGGCTGTGGGTGAGAAGACCCTGGGACCCTCGGAGGGAGGCCCGCAGAGCCAGGGAGGGGCTAACACACAGACACCGGCTGGAGGTCAAGCAACAGAAATGGCAGGCGAACCTGGGGCAGCCCCCTCCAACAAGACACCGACTCGTGACACAGAGAACCAAGGCCCAAAAGCCCCTGCAGACGTCCCCCTGAACTCAGCTTCAACAAAGCAGGAGTTGTAATGTAGTTGCTCATGTCCTTTTTGTCATTCACTGTTAGTCGGAAGAGGTACTGATTCTGTCCTAAAATTCTGGTCCAATTTCCTCCCCTCCCCCTCCCCATCATCCTCTCTCTGCCACCCCCCCCCCACCTCCACCCCCACCCCTCCCCACCCCCCACCCCCACCCCCCCCGTCCTTCTCCAGTCTCTGCTTCCAAATGGCAACAATGACGGATTTCTAACTCAAATGTAGTGACATCAAACACACACCCCCCTCCATCGTCATAGCAACAAAAGATTGCGCAACCTGACAGAGGTGCTCCCCCTCCCCCCCCCCCCCCCCGGTGAGCCCTCACCCCATCCTCCGTATCTGTACAACTGAGACTAGAGTTCAGTTCACTCCGGAGTGAAGTGCATTCTGGGACTATGATGCCCACTTAGCCTGAGACCCACAAACTGCCTCACCAGTCGCATGGGCAGAGCAAGGCCTGAGCCCCCCCCAGAGCCCACCCCCCTCCAGAGCCCACCCCCCCCAGAGCCCACCCCCCAGAGCCCACCCCCCCCAGAGCCCACCCCCCCAGAGCCCACCCCCCCCAGAGCCCACCCCCCTCCAGAGCCCACCCCCCACAGAGCCCACCCCCCACAGAGCCCCACCCCCACAGAGCCCAGCCCCCACAGAGCCCACCCCCCCAGAGCCCACCCCCCCAGAGCTCGCGCCCCCCAGAGCCCGCGCCCCCCAGAGCCCACCCCCCCAGAGCCCGCGCCCCCCAGAGCCCGCGCCCCCCCAGAGCCCATGTCCCACCAGAGCCCACCCCGCCCCCAGAACCCACCCCCCCCAGAGCCCACCCCCCAGAGCTTCCCCGCCAAGAGCCCACCACCCAGGGTCCACCGCCCAGACCCCCACAAACCACTGATGCCTTGTGCCATCTTCAATCCCATCCGTGCCGAGGAGCAATGGATGAGATGAGCTGCAGCCCTCCGAGTGCTGGAGATGCAACAAAGCCCCCGGCACTACCTATTTGGCCACTAGGTGGGGCTCACAAGACTGCAGGAGTGAAAAGTGTGATGTTAACCTGACCGCGGCCCCCAAATTCCACTTAATCTTAGTCTTTAAACTCTTAAAAACTTCTGCTGAGCAATGGAAAATTCTTATTTTGAAAAAAAATTCAATTTCTCGATTTGGTTTCTTTTTAAGAACTTCGGAGAAACGCTCCTTCCAATTTAACACTCGATTAAGAATTTTTCACAAATCACCAGGCTAAGATTGGGCAGAATTTTGTGGCCTTCTATGTGTTCTAGATGGTGCAGTTGTTTATGTGGACTACAGACGGATGAGAGTTCCCTCCATCTCCCCAAATGCAATGGTTTGCTTTGAAAGCTTCCCCCTCAAAACATTTCTCCACCCTCTTGGATTGCTACCCAACAGGCTCTGATTCCGCTTCCTGACCCCTTCCAATAATCTCCCCGCGCGGCCCCCCTCCTAATCCAGGTACCAACAACAACAACAACAACAAGATTCCATTTATAGAGCGCCTTTCACGTCAGGAGGACGTCCCAAGGCGCTGCACAGTTGGGTCATGACCCGAGCAGGGGGGAAATGGTCAGGGGAGGGGAGGGAAGGGAGGGAGCAAGGAGGGGGAAATGGTCAGGGTGAGGGGAGGGAAGGGAGGGAGAGAGGAGGGGGGGAATGGTCAGGGTGAGGGGAGGGAAGGGAGGGAGCGAGGAGGAGGAAGAGAGTCGAGAGGGGAGCTGAAGGCACGGTTTACCAGTTTAACCACGGGTACCAGTTTAAATGCTGGTGTTTCTGGTTTACGACCGGGAAGCAGCACTTAACCAGCCAGCTGCTGGGATGCAGGTTCAGCTAATAATAATAATAATCCTTGCATTTGATATAGCGCCTTGTCACGTCATTGAGACGTCTCAAAGCACTTCGCAGAATGGGAAAGAGTGAGAATATTCAGGACCCGCCATTGTCGCCTCCAAACCTTGGGATAGTTAAAGATAAATTTGCAGCACAATCTTCTACTGGTTGGACGGGGTTCATTAAAGAACAGAACGGTTATGTCTTGGAATCCCATAATGGCCTCCCCCCCCCCCCCCACCTTTATTTTAATAATCATCTTGCTCTGTGTTCTCTGGAGTCTGCAGGTCGTGATCTCGCAGCAAATGATTAGGTTTATTTTTAACTCCTCACTGTCCAGAGGCTGAGACATCACTGAGATGTCAGGAAGAGAGAGAGGCCTTTCTGCCCTAGAGCTTGGCTCTGCATTTATTACAATCTCATTGGAACTTCTCACCCAACTGCACCCCCTGAGTGTGCAGTGAAGATTGCTCTTGTATTTTGTTGCTTATTCTGGAGTCCTGTAGCTCTGGGTTCAATTCCCGTGGCAAGGCAAAATATTGGGCAAGTTTTCTTACACCACACGCCTCTGTTTACCCAGCAGTAAATAGGAACCCAGTTGTAGTCGATTGGTGGATTGCTTTTTCGGGGGTAATAATTCGTTCAAACAAAATAATTAAATTGGTCACTGCAATCCACAGTTGTTTGTGGGGACGCTGCTGTTGTACAATTGGCTGCCGCACTTCGCCCACAAAATATACAGTCAATTCACTTTACAGTATATCCTGTGAAGCGCATTGAGACGTTTAAAAGCCGTGATAAGGCGCTATATCAAATGTAATCATGTTGTTGTTGTATCAAATGCAAGGATTATTATTATTGTGACGGCTGTCCCAGACTTTGGTTTCCATGCTGCGATAAAGAAGGCAGACGATGGGGTGATGGGCTATATTCCTAGATCCATTGAGTCCACATCTTCCAAAGGACATGCTTACACGCTACACTGCTCTGATCAGACCACACATGGATCACACATAAGGTTCTGGTCACCGGATGTTCAGGCTCTAGAGACAATGCAGAGGAGAGGAACAAGAATAATCCCCAGGGTCTGAGTTATGACCCATGGGTTCAATACCCCCGCAGGGTGAAACATTGGGCAAGTTTCCTTACTCCACACAACTCTGTTTACCCAGCAGTAAATAGGAACCTGATTGTTAGTCGATTGGCGGATCGCTTTCCAAGATTCCAGTATTTCCAATTGAAATATCAATTTCCTATAATTCCTTCAAATAAATAATAATAATAAATTGGTCACACAATTCACGACTGTTTGTAGGACACTGTTGTGCGCAATTGGCTATCGTATTTCACCTCCAAAATGTACAGTCAATTCGCTTTACAGTACATTCTTTTAACCACTTTGATAACGTCTCGAAGATGTGATAAGGCGCAATATCTAATGCCAGGATTATTATTATAAGAGCCCTTGAAATAAGACGTTGCAGAGGAGGGCCTTACAGATGTGGATAAGATGCCAAACAGAGATTGAGGAAGTACATCTAAAATAATACTTTCAGATACACTGAGAGACAGCAGCGCAAGAGAGCGCAGGGTCAGTCGGGTGTGAAGGGAGATTTAAGGCCAGACACCAGGACGTATTTTAAATAAAAGTCTAAATATTCCAGGTGCTGGAAATCTGAAATAAAAACAGAAGTCACTGGGAACACTCAGCAGGTCAGGCAGCATCTAAGGAGAGAAGAAAATGAATTAACATTTCAGGTGTTACCTTGTGTTACGGGAAAATTAATTAACATTTCAGGTGTTACCTTGTGTTACGGGAATAAAAACAGAAGTTGCTGGGAACACTCAGCAGGTCAGGCAGCATCGATGGAGAGAAGCAATTTGAAATGTAAAATCTAGCAACCTTTGGTCATTGACCTGAAATGTTAACTCACTTTCCTCTCTCCATAGATGCTGCTGAGCTTTCCCAGCGACTTCTGTTTTCATACCGGGAAGTATATTATTTTTTCATATAATGTAATAGCAGCTGGAATGGGGTTAGAGGAAGGGTATTGCAATCCAGGACCCGGGGCTATTCTAAGAAATGGCTCCGTATTGCAATGTGCAGATGGTCAGGTGGGGATAAGGTCAAGTAAGCCGAAGGGATTCTTTCAACTGAAGCTGTCTTGCAATGATGTGTAGCGCTGATGTTTCTGTGGTGAATGGCTGTGGAGTTTTATTCACAAATAAACAATGTTTTTTTCCAGGATAACTATAATTTTGTGTTTGAACTCTACAGTGTCTATTAATTCTTTGTTGCTCTGAAACTTGCATCAGTTGACTTTACTCAGCAAATTTTCTCTTGGTGTAAGAGGTCTCATGCGAAGGACAGCACCTCCGACAAAGCACTGGATTGGAATGTTAGCCTGATCTATGAGTTTCACATCTTGACATAAGAGAAGGTTGAACCCACATCCCTTTGACTCAGAGGTAAGAGTGTTACTGACTGCGCCAGACTGACATCTGTCTCTTTGAGGATCCCTGTGGTCATCACCCTCAAACACGTCTCCTTTCTTGCTCCTCCCTACCTACTAAAAATGCACCACCCTGTCCGCTCTCCGCTCAGAGGGCACTGGCCTGCTCCACGTCCCCCACCCTGCCCTCTCCACCATCGTCGATTGGGCGTTCGGTCTTTTTGCCCCCCACCCTCTGGAACTCCATTCCCGAACCACTCCGCCTCAGCCACTCCCTTCCTTTGCCTCCTTCAAAGCCCATCTCAAGACCCTCATCTTCGACCGCGCCTTCGGTCATCTTGCCACCCCCCGCCATTCTTGCTCGCCACCCCTCTTGATTCCAGCTCCCAGCTCGTGTGCAAACCCTTCCCTGTCAGGTGCCTGCCTTGATTCCCTCTGAGAATCAAAGGCTCTGCAATGCAACTTGTTGTTGTTGTGATTCCTATCCTCTTCCTGAAGCACTCAACCACCTTGAGAACACATATTTACTTCACAGTATATCCCAGGAAGTCCTACTGACCTTGAAAGGCACTGAATCAAATTAATTACATTTGGGTAATTAATTTGATTAAATTAATCAAATGATTATTATTATTAATTTAAGGGGTTCTTGGGAATTTGAGTGTTTTTATTCTGACATTGAGCACATGGGGCAGCAGGGAGTTGGTTGACAATATAGTACATTCAGTCATAATACAATAATCCTCGCATTTGAGATGGCACCTTATCACGTCGTTTAGACATCTCAAAAACCTTACCTGTCAGGGCTTTGGCTTGCAGGGTTA